AGTGCATTGGGAATGCAGGGCATGGGTTTGGGATAATGGGATGTGCAGCATCCATGGGGGGGGATAGAAATCCAGCTGGGAATACGGCATTCCTGGCTGTGCAATGGGTGGTGTGCAATGGGTGATGTGCATACCCATCTCTCCATGGTACCCATCTCCCCATGGTACCCATCTCCCCATGGTACCCATATCTCCATGGTACCCATCTCTGTATGGTATCCATGTCCCATGATACCCATCTCTCCATGGTACCCACATGTGCATGGTACCCATCTCTCCATGGTACCCATGTCTGTATGGCACACATCTTCCCATGGTACCCACCTCTTCATGATACCCATCTCCCCATGGCACCCATCTCTCCATGGTACCCATGTCCCCATGATACCCATCTCCCCATGGTCCCCATCTCTGTATGGTACCCATGTACCCATGATATCCATGTCCCCATGGTACCCATCTCTGTATGTTACCCATGTCCCCCCATGGTCCCCATGCCCCCATGGTCCCCATCTCTGTATGGTCCCCATCTCTGTATGTTACCCATGTCCCCATGATACCCATCTCCCCATGGTCCCCATCTCCCCATGGTACCCATCTCCCCATGGTACCCATGTCCCCATGGTCCCCATCTCTGTATGGTCCCCCCCTCCCCATGCTCCCCCCTCCCATAGTCCCCCCTCACCCTCAGCACAGCACCCATCACTATATGCGCCCCCATCCCAACCAAAGGGTGCTGCCAGCCCTATGGAGCATCCCCCATAGAGCAGCCCAGCGCCCTCAGCTCCATACCTGGGAACAGATGCTATTCCTGGCAGCTCAGCAGCTAAACATAGCCCTCGACGCCTTCATTTATGGCACCAGCTCCAGCTCCTGCTTCATGAGAGCACTTGGGAGGCTGCCAACCTGCAGCATATGTGACAATGAGGCCTTGGGAGCAGGGGGAATAGGGGGGGGGTGATGAAGATGGGAAAGGGGGATGCTCAATGGGCTCTGTATGCGCTGAGGGGGGAGCAGGGATGAAGGGGATGGGGAGAGGTTGGCTTACCCAAGGGATGCTCCTGCTCTTCCAGGCGTGGGGAAGGGATATGGGGGCTTATCCCTCCCCATAGGTGTCCTATAGGATCATGTAAATGGCTTGGAAAGGAGGTTAGCATCATCCAGTTCCAGGCTGGGATGCCTCACACTGGACCCAGTGCCATGGGAAACCATTGTTAAACCATGTGAAACCTTCTTGTTAAACCATGTTAAATCTTGTTAAAGCCATGTTAAACCATGTTAAACCATGTTAAACCTTGTTAAACCATGTGAAACCATGTTAAACCATGTTAAAAGCATGTTAAAACATGTTAAACCACGTTAAAACTATGTTAAAACATGTTAAACCATGTTAAACCATGTTAAACCATGTTAAACCTTGTTAAACCATGTGAAACCATGTGAAACCTTGTTAAACCTTGTTAAACCATGTTAAACCATGTTAAACCTTGTTAAATCATGTTAAACATTGTTAAATCATGTTAAACCATGTTAAACCAAGTTAAACCATGTTAAACCATCTTAAACCATGATAAACCACGTTAAAACCATGTTAAACCATGTTAAACCTTGTTAAACCATGATAAACCACGATAAACCACGTTAAAACCATGTTAAAACCACATTAAAACCACGTTAAAACCTTGTTAAACCATCTTAAACCACGTTAAACCACGTTAAAACCACATTAAACCACATTAAAACCACATTAAACCACATTAAACCACGTTAAACCACATTAAATCACATTAAACCACATTAAACCACGTTAAAACCACATTAAACCACATTAAACCACATTAAACCACATTAAACCACATTAAACCACATTAAAACCACGTTAAACCCCCATTAAACCACGTAACCAACGATGCAGACCGGAAGCAATCCCTCCAAACCCAGGGATGCTTTGGACCAGGGATGCACAGGAACCAGATCCAAGCACCGGGAGGCATCATCCCAAGCTGCCTCCTTTACCCTGCATAGACCCCAGGCTGAAGGAGGAGGGGATGGATCCATCGCTCCTCCTCCCTATTAAAAGCCACATAAATGGGATTTTCCCCACATTCCCACTGGGAAAAGGAGGAACAAACCCTGCTCCCCCCCATGGGTTGGGGTTTACCCCTTAACACAGCACGGATGCATCCTATATGGGCAGCATCCCTAAGGCGCAGGGATGCTGCGGCCTGGCTGGGTACCAGTCAGGGATGCAGGGGAGGAGGAGGAGGATGCTGGGCTAACTGGGGGGAATAGAGCCCTGCCTCGCTGTGGCAGAAAGGGGCAGGAGTGCTCAGCTCTGATTTATTGCTTAGCTTTTTGATAGGAGAGCTTCTATACTGATAGCATATTTTTATATTGATATGTTTTTGTATTTTTATAATCTTATGGTTCTATATTTTTTACATTTATATTTTTACATGAATGTTATTTTATTTTTATTTTACACATTTATATTACATGTTTTTTATATTATGTTTTTATATTTATAGTATTATTTATACATGGAATTTACCTGGAGTTCTGGGTGTAAATAGATAGAGATAGATATAGATACAGACATATAAAGATAGATGGACAGACATATATAGAAACAGATAGATAGATATAGATAAGATAGATAGATAGATAATAGATGATAGATAGATGTTAGATAGATAGATAGATATAGATAGACAATAGATAGATATAGATAGATATAGATAGATGATTGATAGATGATTGATAGATGATTGATAGATAGATAGATAGATGATAGATAGATAGATAGATGATAGATAGATAGATAGATGATAGGTAGATAGATGATAGATAGATAGATGATAGATAGATAGATGATAGATGATAGATAGATAGATAGATAGATAGATGATCGATAGATAGATGCTAGATAGATGCTAGATAGATAGATGATAGATAGATGATAGATAGATAGATAGATAGATGATAGATAGATAGATAGATGCTAGATAGATGATAGATAGATAGATAGATAGATGATAGATAGATAGATAGATGATAGATAGATAGATGATAGATAGATAGATAGATAGATAGATGATAGATAGATAGATAGATAGATAGATAGATAGATGATAGATAGATAGATGGATGGACGGATGGATGCTCCCAAAGCAGTAGGGAAGAAGAGCCTGAAAAGAGGGATATTCCTGGTGAAGAGCAGGGAATGCTTTCCCCTTTTAGATAGATAGATAGATAGATAGATGATAGATATAGATTATAGATAGATAGATAGATAGATAGATAGATAGATAGATGGATGGATGAATGGATGCTCCCAAAGCAGTGGGGAAGAAGAGCCTGAAAAGAGGGATATTCCTGGTGAAGAGCAGGGAATGCTTTCCCCTTTTAGATAGATAGATAGATAGATAGATGATAGATATAGATTATAGATAGATAGATAGATAGATAGATAGATAGATAGATGGATGGATGAATGGATGCTCCCAAAGCAGTGGGGAAGAAGAGCCTGAAAAGAGGGATATTCCTGGTGAAGAGCAGGGAATGCTTTCCCCTTTTCCTTCTTTTCCTGTCTTCATCCATGCTCAGCTCAAGGAAGAGAACCGAATCCAATGGGATCCCAGAGAGATAAAAGGAGGACGGGGGGGTAAAGCCAGCGAGTTCTTTATTGAGCTTCCAGTGCAGGCACATCTCCAGATGAAGATGGGGAGGGAGGAGGGGTTTGCTCCTCTTCCAGCACCAAATCCAAGCCAAATCCGGCCTCTTCCCACCTCCTTCTCCTCCCATACCCAGGGGGCACAGAGGGAGGAACCCAGCCCAAGGCAAAAACCATTGGAGGGGCCAGGGATCACCTTCAGGTCCTTTCCACCTCACCCCATCCTATGAGAGCCTCTCCTAAAGGGGATGGCAAAGAATTGGGGTTCCTGTAGCCTACAACAGCAGAGGCAGCCGATGGCTGTTGCCATGGCAGGAGCATCTCCATCCCGCCTCGTTGCCATGGCAACAGGGACGCACTCAGAGCATCCTCCCATCAACAGCACTAAACTGGGGGACACGGCTCTCCCTGTACCCCCAAAGTGGGATGGGATGGTGCTGAGCTAAGGCCTGAATGAAGCCCCTGACCCAAGGAGTGTGCTCAAGCCATCACCTCAAAGGGATTCCTGCCATTGGAATTCCCTGCATCCAGCAGGGATTTGTGACTGGTAAAGAAGGGGAAGCCACCCTGGGAGGGGAAAAAAGGGGAAAAATGGGAAGAAAACCCATTTAGGAAGGAGAAAAGGGGACAGGAAGCACTCAGCATCCTTCCACTTGCATCCATTCCCCTGTTTTATAGCTCCTGACCCTGCTTGAGCCCAACACAGCACAATAACCAATGCATTTTAGATGCCTCTCCACATCCCTGTCCTTGTGGGATTTGCTTCCAAAGGGCACAAGGGGGGTGGATTTGCCCTTTTCCAGGCATTTTCCAGTGCATCAGAGCCAGCCCCAACTCCTGAGGCTTTCGGATGTGAAGGGGGCATCCCAAGCTCACTAAGATTTGGGATTAGGGGGGGTTTGGGAGAGGTTTTGAGGCTTGGGGGTGGTGAATTCCTAGCACAGACCCCTCTGATGCTCTTCCCATGGGATACAGGAAGGGAAGGAGCTGAAGCAGGGAAGAGCCTGGTATTGCAGTGCCACCCACTGGCTGTGCTGCACCACACAACCCCAAACACCCCCCCCTCCTTCCCATGTCCACGACACCAAAGGGGAACCCCAACTTCCAAAACGTGACCCCAAGTCTTTATTTACAAAGGGGTGAAATTGGGGTAACCCCCCCCCCAAGTCTCCCCAATTGGGGACACCCAAGAGCATCCACACTCACCCAACAGCAATAGGGTTTTGGGGGGGGGGGGGGTGATGTTCCTGTTGTTTTGAGGTTTGGGGGGGGGAATTCCTGGCTTTTCCTTTGGGATAAAGGGGGGGGGATGCAGGAGGCACCAGCCTGGTCAATGATGCTGCTTCTTATGGCGTAGGATCTCAGTGGGGGTGAAGGTGAAGTCCTGCTGGCAGATGGCACAGTGGTAGGGCCGATGGAGGGCTGAAGGCTTGGAGGAGCTCTTGGGTGCTTCTTCAAGGGGGGCTATGGGGAAAAACAGGGATGAGGAAGGGATTAGGGAGCCTGAGGGGAAGGATTTGGGGTGCTTGGGGTCAGAACCCCCTTCTCTGCGCTGGGTTGTATCAATAGGAGCAATAGGATGCAGTGGGTGCAGTTGTGGGGGGCTCAGCATTAAGGGGATGTGGAGATGCTGGAGCAAGGCATGGAAGGCCTTAAGGATGCTCAGGGGATGGAGCATCCATATGGGAGCAGGAGCTTCCATAGGGATCCAGGCTGGGAGCATTGGGGCTGGAGGAGAGAAGGGGCATGGGGAGCTCAGAGCAGCTTCTAAGGGGTACAAGGGGACCTGCATCGGGGATTGGAGCCATAGGACAAGGGGTGATGGGTTCCAGCTGGAAGGGTGGAGATAAGGAACTGGGACACTGGGATGGGTGAAAGGAGGAGGGTTGGATGCTCCATTCAGGTTGGGTGGACACGGTCTTAGTGTGAGACATCCCAGCTCCTAGCAGGGGGGTTAGAATGGGACCATCTCCAGGTCCCAATCCCAATCCCAATCCCAATCCCAAGCTCACCCTCGGATTGGGGGGGCCGACAGGAGCTCTCATGGCACATTCTCTCCAAGGGGGTGAAGGGCATGTGGAGCTGGCAATGGGGACAGGTCCAGAAGCTCCGCAGGCAGTTGCTGTAGAGGTCTGTGTCCGTCTATGGGGCGCAAAGAGGATGCTCAAAGGGATGCAGGAGGAGCAATAGGGGGGGGTAAAGGGGAGGTACTCACAGCCAAGCAGTTGTAGGTGAGGAAATCGGTGACCCTATGGCCCCCTTTCACCTCATCAGGCCTCATCTCCATGCCATGGAAGAGGCTTGGGAGGTGAGGAGCTGCAGCCATGGGCTGAGGACCAATGTAGAGGTTCTGCTTCTCCAGCCCTGTGAGCTGGTGCAGGCGGTACGGGACCTGCGAGGGGATACAGGGACATCAGGGATGCTCCAGCTCCAAACCCCATCCCTCTTCCAGGCTTCCAAGGTGTTGGAGATGGGGGCAGAGGCACCTGTAGCATGGTCACAAAGGGAATCAGAGCTGGGGAAGGGAATTGGGATGGGGAATGATGGGGTGTGGAGGTTTTGGGGGGGGATTTGATCACTAAAAGGAGGTTGTAAGGAGGTGGGGTTGGGCTCTGCTCCCAATGGATGAGATAGGGGGGGTCTGGATGGGTATTGGGAATGATTCCACCCCCAGAGGGTGCTTGGGGTGAGGATTGCACTGGGTGAGCCCCAATGGCTCTGCTATGAGGCTATGATGCAGCGATCCCCATCACCTTCTCCTGTAGGAAGTCCAGCAGCCCCTGGCTCAACAGGGACACATCCTGCCCCCTAGGCCGTGGGCCCAGCTCCTCATCCCGATGCTCCAGGAGCTGATGGAGGAGCTTTTCCCAAGCAGAACGGAGCTGCAGGGCCCTGGAGAGCAGGCGCACGGCCTGGTCCCTGTTGGGGATGCTGACCTCCAACCAGGCATCAGCCACCAGGCGGGTGCAGTCAGCACTGGTGTCCAGGGACTGGGAGAACAAAAGGAGGGCCTGGAGGAGGAGGAGGAGGAAAGCCAAGTGATGGAGGGGGGGTGAGGAAGGCTTCTAAAGGGGGTGGAAGGGGTGAAGGGCTCACCTGTAGGGCTGGTACCCGCATGCAGTTCACCAGGTAGGGTTTGGTGGTCTCCAGCAGTGAGACAAAGGCAAGGAGCTGGTGGTGGTGGCTCAGCCCCTCATTGGGGTCTGTAGAGGAGGGGGACGGTTGGATGCATCCCAAGCTCTCATCCCTAAGGAACGCTAAAGAGGAGCCAATTCCTTAGGGAATGGGGTTTGTTCCCACCTCTTCCCTCTCCCCTGTCCCGTTTCTCCTTGGGATGGAGCAGCTCCGGGCTGGTGGCGAAGATGGAGGTGGGATGAGGAACAACGCCTGCCTTGCTCCTGGTATGGAAGAGCTGCAGGCAGAGGCAACAGTGAGCATTGAGGGGCAGCAGGAGGGGACCAAGGGATGGGGATGGGGATGGCTCAGGACCTGCTCTGAGTCCTTGCGGCTGCTGTTGAACTGGTCCGGTAGAGCCAACTGTGGGTACAGGCCCCGGCACAGCACCAGTTTGAGCAGGGTGAGCTGGGAGGGGGACAGGACCAAGCTGGATGAGGCCTGGAGCTCGGTCACGTCGTGTCGGAGCTTGAACTTGACATCCTGAAGGGGGAGAATGGGAGTCATGGAGCTGGTTAAAAGCATCCTTCATCCCATAGAGGAGCCGGATGGATGCAGGATGCTCACCTGGATATCGATGCTGTTCCCATGGCAACCACCCTCCTCTTCCTCACCGGAGGAGGGGTCTGGTCCAGGATGCAGCCGCAGCATCTTCCTCTTCCGGCCTTCGGTTTCCCTATGGGAACGCCAGAGCCGGTGCAGCTCCCGGCGTTCCCGGTGCCGGCTCTGCCGGCTGTGGCTATCACTGGGCTGTTGGGAAGCATCCTCCAGGAGCTGGTGGTCACGAAGCAGCTCCTGCAATGGGGTGAGGAGAGGGATGGATGGATGATGGATGGATGGATGGATGGATGATGGATGATGGATGGATGGATGATGGATGGATGATGGATGGATGGATGGATGATGGATGGATGATGGATGGATGATGGATGGATGATGGATGGATGATGGATGGATGGATGATGGATGATGGATGGATGATGGATGGATGATGGATGGATGGATGATGGATGTATGGATGATGGATGGATGGATGATGGATGGATGGATGATGGATGGATGATGGATGGATGATGGATGGATGGATGGATGATGGATGGATGGATGATGGATGGATGATGGATGGATGATGGATGATGGATGGATGATGGATGGATGGATGATGGATGGATGATGGATGATGGATGGATGATGGATGGATGGATGGATGGGTGGATAAGGCCAAATCCCACCTTCTGGAGCGGGTCCTACCTGGAACTGGCGCCGCAGGTTGGCAGCCTCATAGAGGCGATGCTCCTCCAAACCCCGCCGCCGGCACCACTTCCGTGAGCTGCCACCACGCTCCGACTTCACCTGCATGGGGTTGAGGGGTTCACAGCACCCCTAACTCATGGACCCCCCCCCCCAAATCCATCCCAAGGGAAGCAGCCCCATCCTGAGGGCAGGAATCCCCACCTGGACCCATTCGTTGAAGATGTTGAGCAGCGTCAAGGGGTCCCCATGGGGGCTCTCAAGGGGGTGCCGGGCCGTGGCGCAGTCCGGATTGGGGTGCGTGGGGCGTAGGAAAGGGGATGGGATGCTCAGCACCGCTGCCACCGTCAGCGTGGGTTCAGCCAGGCCGAAGAGGGTGCCCAGCACCAGCATCTTGCCTATGGGGTGAGGGCAGGATGAGCATCAGCATCCCAGCTCCATCAAAGGGGTGCCCCTCGGTTACTCACCCACCACCACGTCCACGGGCAGCTGGGCCAGGATGTTCCCAATGGGAGTCAATTGCTCGGCCTCATCCAGGGCTCCTTGGTCCTTCAGGTACCTCACGGCTGTCTCCAGGCTGGAAGAGGGAGGAGGCTCCAGGAAGGGGAAGGTGCGGGGGTCACCCAACCCCATGCTCTTCAACTGGAAAAGAATGAGCCCAATGATGATGGGGAGACCCCCCCCCCAACACCATCACACTCTGAGGCTTGACCCCCCTCTTTCCCTTCCTTATCCCCCCTCACCCCCATTACCTGCAGCACCAGAGCATCCAAAGCCACCCTTTGGATCTCAGGGATGGGATAAGGGGGGAAAGCATCGTAGTCGGATGCAGCATAGAGCCGGTAGCAGACCCCAGGCCCGGTCCTGCCCGCACGGCCCTTGCGCTGCTCGGCGCTGGCTTGGCTGATCCAGAACTCCTGCAGGCGTTGGAGCTTGCCTTGAGGGTCGTAGCTCATCTCCTTCACCCTCCCTACAAGGAGCAGGATGGGAAGGGAGTTTTCCTCCCAGCCAGCAAGGGGAATCCATCGGGATGGGGATGTGGTGATGGTTAAACCTGAATCCAGGATGAAGCGCACCCCATCGATGGTCACCGAGGTCTCGGCGATGTTGGTGGAGAGGATGCACTTCCTGACGCCAGGAGGGGGGACATCGAAGACCTGGAGGGGGAGAAACCATGGAGCATCGAAGAGCAGGAGAACCCCCCCACCCCATAACCTGGTTTGAGCTGGGGGAGGCCATAGGGATGCTGGAAGGGATGGGGGAGATGGGTTTGGAGTCAGGCTAAGAGAGCTGGGTTGGGTGAGCCATAAGGGGGGAGCTTAAAGCAGCCCCAGTGCCTAAAGGGGGTGCAGGAAACACTGGAAAAGGGATGGGGTAAAGGGATGGGAGAAGGGGGAATGGGTTTAAGCTGCTATAGGGGAGATGGAGATGGGATCTGAGGCAGCTCTTCCCTATGAGGGACACTGGGATGGGTGGAATGGACAAGGTTTGGATGCTCCATCAAGGCCAGGTTGGACCAGGCTTGGAGCCTCCACGGAAAGAACCCCATGGCTTGGAACTGGGTGAGCTTTATGGTCCCTCCCCACTCAAACCAGTGGCTGATCCCATTCCCTTCCTTCCACCCACCTTATCCTGCTCTGCCACCGAGAGGGTGCTGTGCAACGGGAGCACGATCCAACGTTGGGTGCAAGCAGCGTAAGCCTTTGCTGCCTCCATCACGGCCCCGATCTCAGCCACCCCACTGAGGAACACCAGCAGGTCCCCTCGCTCCTCAGCTGGGTACTTGTGGTCAATGGCCTGCATCACCCGTAGGTAGGGCATGGGATCCAGGCGTTCCCATTTCCCCCCTTTCCCTTGGGCTTCTTCCTTAGGGATGGGTTGGTAGATGACCTACGGGAGGAGGATGGGATGCTCAGCGCCAATGGGTTGCAATGGGGTCCATGTCCGTAACCAAGCCCCTGCTCTGTGCTCACCGTGATGGGGAAGCTCCTCCCGGGTACCCGCAGCACCGGAGCATCCCCAAAGTACCTGGAGAAGAGGGGGATGTTGATGGTGGCCGACATCAGCACCAGTTTGAGGTCGGGGCGCCGGGGCAGGAGGCGGCGGAGGACCCCCAGGAGGACGTCGCCATGGAGATGGCGCTCGTGGACCTCGTCGATGAGGAGGATGCTGTAGGCCCCAAGGCCTGGGTCCCCTTGTGCCTGGCGCAGCAGCAGCCCCTCGGTGAGGAAGAGGAGGCGGGTGGCGGGCGAGCGGGTGCTCTCGAAGCGGATCTGGTACCCGACCTGTGCAAAGGAGAGGGTGGGGAAAGGGGGGGGTTATGGGGGAAATGGAGGGGGATTTGGGATGAGATGGGGAGAAACGGGAGAAAAGTGACAGGGGTTGGATAAAATTCGGATAAAAGAAAAGGAAGTTGGATGAAATTGAAAAAATTCGCATAAAATTGAGGGAATTTGGACAAAATCGGATGAAATAGAAGGAATTTGGATGACATTGAAGCAATTTGGATGAAATTTGGATAAAATTGAAGGAATTTGGTTAAAATTTAAGGGATTTGGAAAAAATTTGGATAACATTGAGGGGATTTGGACAAAATTCAGATAAAATTGAAGGAATTTGGACAAAACTGGAGAAAATTGAAGGAATTTGGATGAAATTGAAAAAATTTGGATAAAACTGAGGGAATTTGGATAAAATTGAGGGAATTTAAACAAAATTTGGATAACATTGAAGGAATTTGGACAAAATTCAGATAAAATTGAAAAAATTTGGACAAAATTGGATGAAATTGAAGGAATCTGGATAAAATTGAAGGAACTTGAATGAAATTTGAATAAAATTGAAATGTGAAAACAACTTGCATAAATTTGTAACAAATTGAAGACAATATGGCTAATATTCGGGTAAAATTAAAAAAATTGTAAAACTTTGATAGAATTGAAGGAATTTTGATAGAACTGAAAGAATCTGGGTAAAATTCATAGAAAATTGAAGAATGTTGTGCAAATTTGAAGGCAATCTGGATAAAATCTGTGGAAATACATGGAAATGTGCAGAAATGTGCAGAAATGTGGGAAAACTTGGGAAAATTTAGGAAAATTTGGGGAAATATAGGAAAAAAATGGAAACATTTGAGGAAATTTGGGAAAATTCGAGAAAAATTGGGAAAAATTGGTGAAATTTGGGAAAATTTGGGGAAAAATTAGGAAAAAATTGGGGAAAATTGGGAAAATTTGGGGGAAATTAGGAAAAAATTGGGGAAATTTAGGAGAAATTTCAGAAAAATGGGGACATACGGTAAAATTGAGGAAAAATTGGGAAAACTTGTGGAAATTTGGGGAAAATTTCATGAAATTTGGGGAAAATTTGGGGAAATTTGTGGAAATTTGTGGGAAACTTGAAGAGAATCCATCCAAACCCGGGATAAAACCGACCGAAGAGGACAAACGCTGTCTGAATGTGCGGGACCAGCCCCGCACCGCTCACCTGGCTCCCGTACTGGTGCAGGCTCTCCAATGCCACCCTCTTGGCCAGCGAGACGCAGGCGATGCGGCGGGGCTGGGTGCAGGCCACGCGGCTGTAACCGGCCGCCAGTAAGAACTGGGGCACTTGGGTGGACTTCCCACAGCCCGTGTCCCCCGCCACCAGCACCACTCGGTGCTGAGCCACGGCGGCCAGGAGCCGGTGCCGGTACCGGGCGATGGGAAGGGCAGCGCGTTCCCGTTGGATTCGGAGCAGTTTGGAGAAGCTTTGTTTCTGTTGGAAGTCTAAATAATGGAGGAGAGCACCCCGGAATTCCCGGCGGCGTTCCATAGGGATCGCAGCATCCTCCCCATCGGGGTTCAGCATCAGGTTGATGCGGTACCGGGGGTCATAACGGGGGGGTAGGAGGAGACCAGGGGTGCTTGGAGCTGGGTCTGGAGCCGGTTCCTGCCTCGGTCGCTGGCTCTGGAAGCGTCGGAGGCGTTGGAAGAAGGTCCAGAAGTTGGGAATGTCCTGGGAGCCGATGGGATCCTGCCCGTGGAAGTAGAGCTCCTCCAAGCGGCGCTGTGTGCTGGGGCAGTCCCAGTCCCAAGGGGAAGGGGAAGGGGAAGGATCCCGGTTCTCTTTGACCCGAGGCATCGCTGCAGGGGGGGCGCATCTGGAGCCTCCTGTGCCAAGGGAATCAATGGGGTCAATGGGGAAGGGGGGACGGGAGGGGGGACGGCCCGGCCCCGCACTGGCTCCAGGCCCGTTCCAGGCCCCGGATCCTCACCTGCTTTAGGCCCCGCTCCGGCCCCGTTTCAGGCCCCGCTCCGGTCACAGCCCCTCACCGGCCCCAGACCCGGTTCCTCACCCGCTTTGGCCCCGCTCCGGCTTCGTTCCAGGCCCCGGTCCCTCACTGACCCCAGGCCCTGCTCCGGCTCCGTTCCAGGCCCCGCTCCGGTCCCAGACCCGGTTCCTCACCCGCTTTGGTCCCGCTCCGGCCCCGTTCCAGGCTCCGGTCCTAGCCCCGGTTCCTCACCCGCTCTGGGCCCGCTCCGGCCCCGCTCCAGGTCCCGGTCTCTCACTGACCCCAGGCCCCCCTCCGACCTCAGGCCCTCACCCGCTCCGGTCCCGCTCCGGTCCCAGCCCCTCTCCGGCTCCAGACCCGCTCCCTCACCAGCTCCGGCCCCGTTCCAGGCCCTGCTCCAGGCCCCGCTCCGGTCCCAGCCCCTCACCGGCCCCAGACCCGGTCCCTCACCCGCTCTGGGCCCGCTCCGGCCCCGTTCCAAGCCCCGGTCCCCCACTGACCCCAGGCCTGCTCCGGCTCCGTTCCAGGCCCCGCTCCAGTCCCAGCCCCTCACCGGCTCCAGACCCGGTCCCTCACCCGCTCCGGCTCCGTTCCGGCCCCGGTCCCTCACTGACACCAGGCCCCGCTCCGGTCCCAGCCCCTCACCCGCTCCGGACCCGGTTCCTCACCCGCTCTGGCCCCTCTCCGGTCCCGCTCCGGCCCCGTTCCAGGCCCCAGTCCCTCACTGACTCCAGGCCCCCCTCCGACCTCAGGCGCTCACCCGCTCCGGACCCGCTCCGGTCCCAGCCCCTCTCCGGCTCCAGACCCGGTTCCTCACCCACTCTGGCCCCCCTCCGGTCCCAGCCCCGGTTCTTCACCTGCTTTGGCCCCGCTCCGGCCCCGTTCCAGGCCCCAGTCCCTCACTGACTCCAGGCCCTCACCCCGGTCTCAGCCCCTCACCCGCTCTGGCCCCACTCCGGTCCCGCTCCGGGCCAGCTCCAGGCCCCGCTCCGACCTCAAGCCCTCACCCGCTCCGGACTCGCTCCGGTCCCAGCCCCTCACCGGCCCCAGACCCGGTTCCTCACCCGCTCCGGCTCCGTTCCAGGCCCCGTTCCGGCCCTGAGGCCGCTCCCCCGGAACCGGAACCGGAGCCGGGCCCCGGCCCGCTCCGCTCTCGCAGCGCCCCGCCAGGAAGCACCGCCAGGCCGCCAGGGGGCGCTCAAGAGCCGGAGGCGCTCAAGGGGCGGAGCGAGGGGCGGGGCTTCCCGGAGCTGCCCGGCCCCGCCTTGTCCCTGTGTGTCCCCAGATGCCCCCATATCCCCCCCATATCCCCCCCATATCCCATCCATATCCCCCATATCCCACCCGTATCCCCCCCAAGTGCCCCCATGTCCCCCCGTATCCCCCCATATCCCCTCCATATCCCCCATATCCCTCCATATCCCTTCCATATCCCCCATATCCCACCCGTATCCCCACCAAGTGCCCCCATGTCCCCCCATATCCCTCCATATCTCTCCATATCCCACGCGTATTCCCCACATATCCCCCCCATATCCCTCCATATCTCTCCATATCCCCCCATATCCCACCCATATCCCCCCATATCCCCCCATAACCCCCCATATCCACCCATATCCTTCCATATCTCTCCATATCCCCCCATATCCACCCATATCCACCCATATCCCCCATATCCCACCCGTATCCCCCCATATCCCTCCATATCCCCCCATATCCCTCCATATCCCCCCATATCCCACCCATATCCCCCCATATCCCTCCATATCCCACCCATATCCCTCCATATCTCTCCATATCCCACCCATGTCCCCCCATATCCCCCCCATATCCATGCCTACTCCACCTATATCCCTTCATATTCCACCCATATTCCCCCATATCCCCCCATATTCCTCCATATCCCACCCATGTCTTCCCCATTCCCATGTTCCCAATGTCCTCATGTCACAACGTGCTCAATATTCCCATGTCCCCTCCATCCCACCTATCCCCATCGGTGCCCAACTGCCCCCTCCATCCCCATTGATGCCCAACTGCCCCCTCCATCCCCATTGACGCCCAACTGCCCCCTCCATCCCCATTGACGCCCAACTGCCCCCTCCATCCCCATTGGTGCCCAACTGCCCCCTCCATCCCCATTGACACCCAACTGCCCCCTCCATCCCCATTGATGCCCAACTGCCCCCTCCATCCCCATTGACGCCCAACTGCCCCCTCCATCCCCATTGACGCCCAACTGCCCCCTCCATCCCCATTGGTGCCCAACTGCCCCCTCCATCCCCATCGATGCCCAACTGCCCCCTCCATCCCCATTGATGCCCAACTGCCCCCTCCATCTCCAACCCCCCCCATTGACCTCCCATCACCCCATGGAGATCCCAGCACAGACTGGGGACCGGAAACGCTGCGGTCCCTCTTGCATCACCACCGTCTCCTTGGCAACCCAAGCAACAGGAACATTGCTCAATGAGCCACCAAAAAGCAGAACCAAGGCCCCCCCATACGGGGCTTGTTGGAGCTTTAGGGTTTATTGGTGACGGCGTCCGATGGCAACGGTGATGCCAAAGGGTGATGAATGGGACGCAGGACCCCATTAGTTGGGTGATGGAGATGGGTTTACCCCAGTGATCAATGGAGATGTAGGGCAGGGAGGTAGCGCAGCTCCTATGGGGCTGGATAGTGATGATGGGGGACAAAAGGGGACCTCATCCTTTATGGGACCTCATTGCCCACCCCATCACACCATGGTGCTGACGCTCTGCTCCTCGGTGGTACCCTTGCTCCTCACCCTACCCTCGGTGACCTCATCGCTCAACGCCCCCCGCAGCACCGCCCGCCAGGACCTCCACAACCTCCCCTTGAAGCCCTGCCCCATGGCCGCGTAGATGACGGGGTTGACGCAACTGTTGACGTAGGCGATGCCGGTGACGGCGGCGTCGGCGTCGGCGGCGCCCTTGTACAAGGCGCTGCTTGGATGGGACGACGCCAAGATGATGCCCACCACGTGGTAGGGCAACCAGCACGTGAAGAAGGTGGTGATGACCACCAGGATGAGCTTGGTGGCTCGTTGAGAGCGGGCGAAGCCTTTGGTGCGGATCCGCGCTAAGAGCGAGCCGTAACAGGCGGTGATGACGGCGAAGGGCACGGCGAAACCCAACGCAAAGCGGGTGCCGGCGGTGAGCACCTCGACCAAGCGTCGGTGCCGGGACGCGACGGCGGCGTAGTCCAAGACGCACGTGGCCTTGAAGGCGAAGGCGTCGCGGCGCTCGGTGCGGAAGGCGAAGGACGGCGCCGTCAACGCCGCCGCCAAAGCCCAAGCGCCGGCGCTCAAGGCCCGCGCCAAAGCCGGGCGCCGGTGGTTGTGGCACCAAACGGGGCGGGCGACCAAGGCGTAGCGGTCGGCGCTGATGGCCGTGAGGAGGAGGACGCTGGCGAACATGTTGAGGATGGTGATGGATGGGATGAGCTTGCAGGCAAAGCGGCCCAATGGCCAATGGTGGTCCCATGCCAAAGGGAGGGCCAAGAAGGGCAGCGCCAAGCAGCACAAGAGGTCGGCCATGGAGAGGTTGAGGAACCAGACGCCGTTGACGGTGCGGCGCAGCTCGGAGGCCGTCACCCAGATGACGGCGCCGTTGCCGATGACCCCGATGAGGAAGATGAGGGTGTAAAGGGCCAGCACGGCGCGGTGGCCCGGTGGCACCGTGAAGGAGTCCAGGTCGGAGATGTCGTAGGTGTCCCACATGGAGTCGTTGGTGGTGGTGGTGTTGGGGAAGGGGTAGTCCAAGTCCATTGTGGTGATCTTGGGCTTGGGAGAACCCCTTGTGAGGCTATAGGGGGGTGAAGGGACCTTCATTGGTACCTACTCTATGCACCATGGGCAAGGGCATCTCCACCAGACCAAGGTCCTCAAAGGCCCACAATGGGTTTGGGTTGAAGGGACCTTCATTGGTACCTACTCTATGCACCATGGGCAAGGGCATCTCCATCAGACCAAGGTCCCCAAAGGCCCACAATGGGTTTGGGTTGAAGGAACCTTCATTGGTACCTACTCTATGCACCATGGGCAAGGGCATCTCCACCAGACCAAGGTCCTCAAAGGCCCACAATGGGTTTTGGGTTGAAGGGACCTTCATTGGTACCTACTCTATGCACCATGGGTTAGGGCATCTCCACCAGACCAAGGTCCTCAAAGGCCCACAATGGGTTTGGGTTGGAAGGACCCTCAATGATCACCCAAGGTGCCATGGGCAAGGGCATCTCCATCAGACCAAGGTCCTCAAAGGCCCATAATGGGTTTTGGGTTGAAGGAACCTTCATTGGTACCTACTCTATGCACCATGGGCAAGGGCATCTCCACCAAACCAAGGTCCTCAAAGGCCCACAGTGGGTTTGGGTTGAAGGGACCTTCATTGGTACCTACTCTATGCACCATGGGCAAGGGCATCTCCATCAGACCAAGGTCCCAAAAGGCCCATGATGGGTTTGGGTTGAAGGAACCTTCATCGGTACCTACTCTATGCACCATGGGCAAGGGCATCTCCATCAGACCAAGGTCCTCAAAGGCCCATGATGGGTTTGGGTTGAAGGGACCTTCATTGGTACCTACTCTATGCACCATGGGCAAGGGCATCTCCACCAGACCAAGGTCCCCAAAGGCCCACAATGGGTTTGGGTTGAAGGAACCTTCATCGGTACCTACTCTATGCACCATGGGCAAGGGCATCTCCATCAGACCAAGGTCCCAAAAGGCCCACAATGGGTTTGGGTTGGAAGGACCCTCAATGATCACCCAAGGTGCCATGGACAAGGGGATATCCACTAAACCAGGGTGCTCAAAGGCCCACAATGGGTTTGGGTTGAAGGAACCTTCATCGGTACCTACTCTATGCACCATGGGCAAGGGCATCTCCATCAGACCAAGGTCCTCAAAGCCCTACAATGGGTTTGGGTTGGAAGGACCCTCAATGATCACCCAAGGTGCCATGGGCAAGGGCATCTCCATCAGACCAAGGTCCTCAAAGGCCCACAATGGGTTTGGGTTGAAGGAACCTTCATTGGTACCTACTCTATGCACCATGGGCAAGGGCATCTTCACCAGACCAAGGTCCTCAAAGGCCCACAATGGGTTTAGGGTTGGAAGGACCCTCAATGATCACCCAAGGTGCCATGGGCAAGGGCATCTCCACTAAACCAGGGTCCTCAAAGCCCCATATATCATGTCCCACAATGGGTTTAGGGTTGGAAGGACCCTCAATGATCACCCAAGGTGCCATGGGCAAGGGCATCTCCACCAGACCAAGGTCCTCAAAGCCCCATATATCATGTTCTATAATGGGTTTGGGTTGGAAGGACCCTCAATGGTCACCCAAGGTGCCATGGACAAGGGGATATCCACCACACCAAGGTCCTCAAAGCCCCATATATGATGTCCTACAATGGGTTTAGGGTTGGAAGGACCCTCAATGATCCACCCAACCCAACCTGGACCTGGAGCATCCCCCCCACCACTGCCCAACCTCCACCATCCTCTCCCCATAAACCACCTCTTCCTTATGCCCATCAGCATCCCCCCTCCATCCACCCCAAACCAGCCCTATGGGGTGCTCCTCCATGCATGACCCCCCCTCATTGTCCCTATGGCCAGCAGGAAGCCGGCATTGCCCCACTTCCTCGCCCCACTTCCCCCCATAGCCACAGCCATGGCGCAAGAGCTCGGATGAGGAAACACCAAAGGAGCTTCTGCTCCGGAGGCTTCTCCAGCCCTGGGGAGGGGACCATGGGGATGAACTGGGGTTGGGCCCCAAGGGATAAGGAGAAACCCCCTCAATGCAGGAAAGTGGGGATGGGGGAACGCTGATGGAGGAGGAGACCCCAGGGAAAGCTTGGGAATGAGCCAGGGATGTGGAGCATGGGAAGAGCATCCATCCATCATCATCACCATCATCATCATCATCATCGATCATCATCATCATCATCATCATCATCCATCATCATCATCATCCATCATCATCATCATCCATCATCATCATCATCATCGATCATCATCATCATCATCATCATCATCATCCATCATCATCATCATCCATCATCATCATCATCCATCATCATCATCCATCATCATCATCATCATCATCATCATCATCATCCATCCATCATCATCATCATCATCATCATCCATCTCCATCCATCATCCATCATCATCATCATCATCCATCATCATCATCATCATCATCATCATCCATCATCATCCATCATCATCATCATCCATCATCATCATCATCCATCTCCATCCATCATCATCATCATCATCATCATCATCATCATCATCACCACAGGAGCCACCACCCCCCTCCTGCCCTCAACGGGTAAGACCCATCCCAAGCGATCCCAATGGGAATGGGGCGGATGCAGAGCCCCATATCCCACCTTTTCCCATGATCCCACCCCAACGAACCCATCCCATTCCCTTACCTGCGTCCCGGCCCCGCAGCCCCGTGCCCGGCACGGTCCCGACCGCCCTTTATATGGGGCCGGGCCAAGGGGAAGGAAGAGGAGGAGGAGGAAGAAGAAGAGATCGGCCCCAAAGCACTGTTAGGGGGGGGAGGAAGGGGGTGGGAAGGGTCCAGATCCCAATAGGATGAAGGGGGGGATCCCCAATGGATCCCCCCAAGCCGGGCAATGGAGAGGGATGATCCCAATGGATACCATCAGGGAATGCTGCTTCCCAATGGTTCCATGAGTAGGGAGGAACAGGAGGGCTCCGACAGCCCCGAACCCCTCCTTTTAGAGCCCCCAAAATGCCTCTTTTCACCCCAAAAATACTGGAGCCCCCCCCTCCCCCAACAGGGAGCATCCTATTAGTGGGATCCCCCCCCCCCGCCTCGGCATGGAGAACAGGGGGACCCCAGGAGCAAAGGGGGGACCCTCGGTTAAAGGGGGGACCCCAAAGTTAAAGGGGGACCCAGGAGGTTAAGGGGAACCCCAGGGGCTAAAGGGGGACCCCCAATTTAAAGGGGGACCCCAGGGGTTAAAGGGGACCCAGGGGTTAAAGGGGGGATCCAGGGGTTATAGGGGGTCCCAGGGGTTAAAGGGGGACCCCAGGGGTTAAAGGGGACCCAGGGGTTAAAGGGGGACCCCAGGAGTTAAAGGGGGACCCCAGGGGTTAAAGGGGACCCAGGGGTTAAAGGGGGACCAAGAGTTAAAGGGGGACCCCAGGGGTTAAAGGGGACCAGGGCTTAAAGGGGAACCCAGGGGTTAAAGGGGACCAGGGGTTAAAGGGGAACCCAGGGGTTAAGGGGGGACCCAGGGGTTAAAGGGGACCAGGGGTTAAAGGGGAACCCAGGGGTTAAAGGGGGACCCCAGGGGTTAAAGGGGACCCAGGGGTTAAAGGGGACCAGGGGTTAAAGGGGAACCCAGGGGTTAACGGGGACCAGGGGTTAAAGGGGACCCAGGGGTTAAAGGGGGACCAGGGGTTAAAGGGGACCCAGGGGTTAAAGGGGACCCCAGGGGTTAAAGGGGACCCAGGGGTTAAAGGGGACCAGGGGTTAAAGTGGACCAGGGGTTAAAGGGGGACCCCAGGGGTTAAAGGGGGACCCAGGGGTTAAAGGGGGACCCAGGGGTTAAAGGGGGACCCCAGGGGTTAAAGGGGGACCCAGGGGTTAAAGGGGGACCCAGGGGTTAAAGGGGGACCCAGGGGTTAAAGGGGGGACCCCAGGGGTTAAACGGGGACCAGGGGTTAAAGGGGGACCAGGGGTTAAAGGGGGACCCAAGGGTTAAAGGGGGGACCCCAGGGGTTAAAGGGGGACCAGGGGTTAAAGGGGACCCCAGGGGTTAAAGGGGGACCCCAGGGGTTAAAGAGGGACCAGGGGTTAAAGGGGGACCCCAGGGGTTAAAGGGGTCCCCAAATCAGTGTCAGGATCCCAGGATCAGTGCTGGGATGCTGGATCAGTGTTGGGATGCCTGGATCAGTGTCAGCATCCTGGGATCAGTGTCAGGATACTGGGATCAGTGTTGGGATACTGGGATCAGTGTTGGGACCCAGGGATCATTGTTGGGAGGCAGGATCAATGTCAGGATCCCTGGATCAGTGTTGGGATCAGTGTCAGGATGCCCAGATCAATGTCGAGATCAATGTCGGGATCAATGTTGGGATGCCAGGATCAATGTCGGGATGCCTGGATCAGTGTTGGGATCAATGTCAGGATGCCCTGATCAATGTCGGGATCAATATTGGGATGCTGGGATCAATGTCGGGATCAATGTTGGGATGCCTGGATCAATGTCGGGATGCCCAGATCAGTGTCAGGATTAATGTCAGGATGCCCGGATCAATGTTGGGATCAATGTCAGGATGCCCGGATCAATGTTGGGATCAATGTCGGGATGCCCAGATCAGTGTTGGGATCAGTGTTGAGATCAATGTCAGGATCAATGCTGGGATGCCTGGATCAATGTCGGGATGCCCAGATCAGTGTCAGGATCAATGTTGGGATGCCCGGATCAATGTTGGGATCAATGTCAGGATGCCCAGATCAATGTCGGGATCAGTGTTGGGATGAGTGTCGGGATCAATGTCGGGATCAAAGTTGGGATGCCCAGATCAATGTCAGGATGCTCAGATCAATATCGGGATGCTGGGATCAGTATCAGGATCAATATCAGGATCAATGTAGGGATCAATATCGGGATCAATGCCCGGATCAGCGCCAACAGCCCGGAGCTGCTGCAGCCGTTTATTAACAAAGACCCGGGGGTGCCACCGCCCCCCCCCCCGAACCCCATCTCCAGGGCAGGGGCCAGGATCGGGCCCCCCCCCCCTCCTCGGTCCAGCTCCGCCCCCGGAGCCCTTTGGAGCCTTCAGTGAGCGCCGGCGCTTCCCAAGGGATGGGGGGGGGATGGGGGGGGGGGGCGGGGCCTTTCCCTCCTTCCCGGTGCTTCCGGCGGCTCCCAGGGTCCTGGTGGGGCCGGGATCAGGGGGGGGCAGAGCGGAGGTCCTGGGGGGAGAGCGGGAGTGAGGGGGGAGTGGGAACGGGAATGGGAATAAGGAATGGGAATGGGAATAAGGAATGGGAATGGGAACGGGAATGGGGAATGGTAACAGGAATGGGAACGGGAATGGGAATAAGGAATGGGGAATGGGAATAAGGAATGGGAACAGGAATGGGAATAAGGAATGGGAACAGGAATGGGAATAAGGAATGGGAACGGGAATGGGAATGGGGAATAGAGAAGGGGAACGGGAATGGGCAATGGTGAATGGGAACGGGAAAGGGAATGGGAACGGGAATGGGAGCAGGAATGGGAATAAGGAATGGGGAATGGGAATAAGGAATGGGGAATGGGAATAAGGAATGGGAACAGGAATGGGAATGGGGAATAGAGAAGGGGAACGGGAATGGGCAATGGTGAATGGGAACGGGAATGGGCAATGGGAACGGGAATGGGAGCAGGAAAGGGAATGGGACCGGTAATAAGGAATGGGAATAAGGAATGGGAATGGGAATAAGGAATGGGAACAGGAATGGGCAATGGTGAATGGGAACGGGAAAGGGAATGGGGAATGGGAACGGGAATAAGGAATGGGAACAGGAATGGGCAATGGTGAATGGGAACGGGAAAGGGAATGGGGAATGGGAACAGGAATAAGGAATGGGCAGGGGAAAGGGAATTGGGAATGGGAACAGTAATAAGGAATGGGAATGGGAATAAGGAATAGGAATGGGAATAAGGAAAGGGAATGGGAATAAGATGTGGGAATAAGGAATGGGAATGAGGAATGGGAATAAGGAATGGGAATAAGGAAAGGGAATGGGAATAAGGAATGGGAATGGGAATAAGGAATGGGAACAGGAATGTGCAATGGTGAATGGAATAAGGAATGGGAACGGGAAAGGGAATGGGGAATGGGAACAGTAATAAGGAATGGGAATGGGAAAGGGAATAAGGAATGGGGAACGGGAACAGGAGTGGGAATAAGGAATGGGGAATGGGAAAGGGAATGGGAACAATAATAAGGAATGGAACAGGAAAGGGAATGGGGAATGGCAATAAGGAATGGGAACAGTAATAAGGAATGGGAACAGGAATGGGCAATGGGGAATGGGAATAAGGAATGGGAACAGGAAAGCGAATGGGAGTAAGGAATGAGAACGGGAAAGGGGAATGAGAAGGGGAATGGGAATGAGGGAAAGGAGAAAGGGAGAGAAGGGAAAAAGGGAAGAGAAAGAAAGGATGGGGAGAGGGAAAGAAAAGGGAAGAAGGAAGGGAAAGGGAAAGGGAAAGAGGGGAAGGAGGAAGGAAAAGAAGGGAAAGAGAAAGGGAAAGAGGGAAAGGAGAAAGGGAAAAAGGGAAAGGGAAAAGGGAAAGAGAAGAAGAGGAAAGGGAAAGGGGGAAAGGGAAAGGAGAAAGAGGAGGAGAAAGCGCATGAGCAGGGGCTGCTGACCCCGACCCCATCCCCATCCCCATGGGCGCTGCGTTCCCATGGCAACCCCCCCCCCCCCCCCCAATCCCTTGGGAAGCCGCACGGGCAGGCAGGGAAATACCGGGAGCCGGAGGCGGAAGCGCCGGGAAGCGGGGGGGGGGGGAAGAGGCCGCCGGGAGCCCCGGCCCCCGCTACGAGCGGCGCCTACGGAAACGCACCCGGTGGAAGCCCGAGATCTCCACGGAGCCCGGGGCCGCGTCCGGGGAGCCTGCGGCAGGGGATGGGAAAGGGATCGGATCCCCCCCCCCCCTTTAGCTCCACCCCCTTTAGCGCCACGCCCGCCTTTAGCTCCACCCCTCTCTTTAGCTCCGCCCCCTCTTTAGCTCCACCCCCCCCCCTTAGCTCCAAGTCCCTGCCTTTACTTCCAGGGCCCCCCTTTACCTCCAGGACCCCCCCTTTAGCTCCAGGTCTCCCCTTTAGCTCCACCCCCTTTAGCTCCACCTCCCTTTACCTCCAGGTCCCCCCTTTAGCTCCACCCCCTCTTTAGCTCCACCCTCTCTTTAGCTTCGGGCCTCCCTTTTAGCACCGGGTCCCCCTCTTTACCTCCGGATCCCCCCTTTACCTCCACCCCTCTCTTTAGCTCCGGGCCCCCCTTTTAGCTCCGGGTCCCCCCCTTTACCTCCGGATCCCCCCTTTAGCTCCACCCCCCTCTTTAGCTCCACCCCTCTCTTTAGCTCCACCCCTCTCTTTAGCTCCACCCCCCTCTTTAGCTCCAGGACCCCCCCTTTAGCTCTGCCCCCTCTTTAGCTCCAGGACCCCCCCTTTAGCTCCGCCCCCTCTTTAGCTCCACCCCCCTTTCGCTCCAGGCCCCCCTTTAGCTCCACCCCCGCATTAGCTCCACCCCCCCTTTACCACCAGCCCCCCTTTAGCTCCAGGACCCCCCTTTAGTCCACCCCGTTAGCTCCAGGCCCCCCTTTAGCTCCACCCCCCCGTTAGCTCCAGGCCCCCTTTAGCTCCACCCCTGCATTAGCTCCACCCCTGCATTAGCTCCACCCCCCCTTTACCACCAGCCCCCCCTTTAGCTCCAAGGTCCCCCTTTAGCTCCAGGGGTCCCCCTTTATCTTTGGGGATTCCCCCCTCCCAGCACCTCTCATCCCATCCTCTGCCTCCTGCTCCGCACTGGGCCTCGCTTCATCCCTCTGGGGGGGCTCCAGGGGGCTCAGCCCTATAGAAGGGGGGGGAACCAGGGTGAAGCCCCCCTGTGTCCCCCCCTCTTATCCCAGCTCTGGTGCCCCCCTCCTTAGGGATAGGGACGCACTGGGGGGGGGTTCCTCCTTGCTCAATGGCTCTGTGCTGGCTCCATCCTCTTCCTCCTCCTCCTCTTCCTCCTCATCTTCATCCTCATCCTCATCCTCATCCTCATCCTCATCCTCATCCTCATCCTCTTCGCTCACATCCTCCCATTGCTCTTCCTCCTCCTCCTGGCTCAGGGAATGGGGGGGGTCCAGGGGGGTCCTGGTTGGTGTTGCCTCTGTCTATGGGCATCAAAAAGGGGGGTATCAGAGGGGTACTGGGGTTGGGGGTACTGGGATGGGGGGTTTCAGGGTACCGGGATACAGGGATGCGGGGTACCAGGGCACCGGGATACAGGGATGGGGGTACTGGGATGCGGGGGTACCAAGGCATTGGGATACAGGGATGGGGGGTACTGGGATGCGGGGGTACCAAGGCATTGGGATACAGGGATGGGGGGTACTGGGATGTGGGGTACCAAGGCACTGGGATACAGGGATGCAGAGTACCAGGATGCAGGGATGGAGGACACTGGGACTGGGGGGTTCAAGGCACTGGGATACAGGGATGGGAGGCACTGGGATGTGGGGTACCGAGGCACTGGGATACAGGGATGGAGGACACTGGGATGCAGGGTACCAAGGCACTGGGATACAGGGATGGAGGACACTGGGATGTGGGGTACCGAGGCACTGGGATACAGGGATGGGAGGCACTGGGATGTGGGGTACCAAGGCACTGGGATACAGGGATGGAGGCACTGGGATGTGGGGTACCAGGGCACTGGGATACAGGGATGCAGAGTACCAGGATGCAGGGATGGAGGACACTGGGATGTGGGGTACCAAGGCACTGGGACACCGGGATGGAGGACACTGGGATGTGGAGTACCAAGGCACTGGGATACAGGGATGGAGCACACTGGAATGGGAGGTACCAGGGCACTGGGATACAGGGACGGAGATCACTGGGATGCTTTAGGCCCATTGCTCACCTCCCAGTTGTGTGTTTCAGGTGCTTCCATCGGCTCCCTCTCCTCCCACCGGTTGTCGTGCATGCTGCAGGGCGAGATTCCAGCCACTGGGAGATCCCATAGGGAATGGAACCCCCCCCCATCGGACACAACGGACCTGTAGGACTTGGCCCCTAAACCCCGGCCCCGAGGCTTGTGCTGGGGCAGGAACTCAGCCAGGGTGGGGGGTTTGGGAGCCGGGCGCTGGAGCTCATCCCTGGATCCCGGATCCCAGGATGGGGAGGGAGCGGAGCCCTCCAGGAACCTGGAATCCGACCGGACACGGTGACAATGGGAGACAATGGGGGACAATGGGGGACAATGGGGAATGGGAGACAATGGGAGACAATGGGGAATGGGTGCCAATGGGAGATGGGTGCCAATGGACACCGGTGACAAAGGTCATGGGTGCCAATGGGAGATGGGTACCAATGACCATGGGTGCCAATGGGAGATGGGTTCCCATGGCCATGGGTATCAATGGGAGATGGGTACCAATGACCATGGGTGCCAATGGAAGATGGGCACCAATGACCATGGGTGTCAATGGGAGACGGGTACCAATGACCATGGGTGTCAATGGGAGATGGGTACCAATGACCACGGGTATCGATGGTAGATGGGTTCCCATGGCCATGGGTATCAATGGGATATGGGTACCAATGACCACGGGTATCAATGGTAGATGGGTTCCCATGGCCATGGGTGCCAATGGGAGATGGGTTCCCATGGCCATAGGTGCCAATGGCAGATGGGTACCAATGACCATAGGTGTCAAAGGGAGACGGGTTCCCATGGCCATGGGTATCAATGGGAGATGGGTACCAATGACCATAGGTGCCAATGGGAGATGGGTACCAATGGGATATGGGTACCAATGGGATATGGGTACCAATGGGATATGGGTACCAATGACCATGGGTGTCAATGGGAGATGGGTACCAATGACCATGGGTGTCAATGGGAGATGGGTACCAATGACCATGGGTATCAATGGGAGATGGGTTCCCATGACCATTGGTGCCAATGGGAGATGGGTACCAATGGGATATGGGTACCAATGGGATATGGGTACCAATGACCATGGGTGTCAATGGGAGATGGGTCCCCATGGCCATGGGTACCAATGGGATATGGGTACCAATGACCATAGGTGCCAATGGGATATGGGTACCAATGCCCACGCGCATCCCGCTCCGTTCCCTACATGCTCTCCGTCTTCTCCGCATCCCACTCCCTCCTCCATTGCCCTCCGGGCTTCCGGTGCCGCGCCACCCGCTCGCGGTCGATGCGCTCCCGCTCCTGCTTCCAGCGCAGGTACTCGGCGCGTTCCCGGCCCGTCATGGACAGCGTCATATCCGGGGCCCCCCCATAGCGACCCTGGCAATGAGAGAGGGGGGGAATGGGCTCAGATCCCATGGGATGATGGGGAAAAAAGGGGGGGGGGGGTGATGGGGATCAATGTACAGGGCTTGGCCATGTCCGGTCCCGGTCCCGGTCCATCCCGGTTTTGACCTTGTCGAAGTCGGGGCCCCCCCAGTTGCGGCCATGGCGGCGGCTCCCGTCCCGGCGGTCGGGGTCTTGGGCCGGGCCCGAGCGGCGGGGATCGTCCAGGAAGTTACGGACGGGGTTCTTGTCTGGGAGCCCGTCCTGGGGGGGAACGGGGGGGAAATGGGGGGAGAATGGGGGGGATGGGGGGGATATGGGGGGAAATATGGGGGAGAATGGGGGGGATGGGGGGGAGATGGGGGGGAATATGGGGGGGATGGGGGGTTGAGAATGGGGGGAATGGATAAAGGGGGGCGGAAGGGGGGGAATGGGGGGAAATGGAGGGAGGAATGGGGGAATTTGGGGAGAATATGGGGGGAGGATGGGGAGGGATGGGGGCAATGGGAGCAATGGGGGGAAATAGGGGGGGAGAATATGGGGGAACAGGGGGGGAGGAATGGGGGGAATGGGGGGGAACAGGGGAGGGGATGGGGGGAACGGGGGGGAATGAGGGGGGAGGATTGGGGGAGGAATGGGGGGGAATATGGGGGGGAACAGGGGGGGAGGATGGGGGGAACGGGGGGGGAGGATGGGGAGGAGGGGGGAATGGATAAGGGGGAGAAGGGGGGGAGGGGAAGATGGGGGGAGGGATGGGGGGATGGGGGTTTAGAATGGGGGGAATGGATAAAGGGGGCGGAGAGGGGGGGAATGGGAAATGGGGGGATGAGGAGAAGGGGAAATGGAGAGATGGAATTTGGGAGAATATGGGGGGAGATGGGGAGGGATGGGTAAATGGGGAGAATGGGGGAAACTGGGAATGGGGTTGAATTGATAAAGGGGGGCGGGAGGGGGGGGGATGGGGGGAAGGGGGGACAATGGGAAGGGGGGGCAAGGGGGGGAAGGGGGGAATGCAGGGGAGGAGGGGGGGAGGATGGGGGAATGAAAGGGAATGGGGGCAGAAGGGGCAGAATGGGGTGGAATGGATAAAGGGGGGCAGAAGGGGGGGAATAGGGGGGAACGGGGGGGAAGGGAGCAAGGAGAGGGGGAATGGAAGGGAATGGGGGCAATAGGGGGGGGGACGGAGGGGGGGAGAAAGGGGGGAGAAAGGGGGGAGAAAGGGGGGAGAAAGGGGGGAGAAAGGGGGGAGAAAGGGGGGAGAGAATGGGGAATGGTTGGGAAGGGGAGGGAAGGGGGGAATGGGGGCAATGGATAAAGGGGGGCAGAAGGGGGGTAAATGGGGGGAGAATGGGGGGAATGGGGAGGGGATGGGGGGATGTGGGGGGAGAAGGGGGAATTGATAAAGGGGGGCAGAAGGGGAGAAAATTGGGGGAATTGGGGGAGAATGGGGGGAATAGGAGGGTAATGGGGGAAGAATGGGGGGATGGATAAAGGGAGCAGAAGGGGGGGAAATGGGGGGCAGAATGGGGGGGAATGAGATGGGAATGAGATGGGAATGGGGTGGAATGGGGGAGAATGGGGGGAACAGGGGGAGGAAGGGGGAAATGGAAGGGAATGGGGGGGAATGGATAAAGAGGGGCAGAAGGGGGGCAAATTGGGTGAATAGGGGGGAATTGGATGAATGGGGGGGCAGGGGGGTGGAAAGGGGGCCCCCCCCCGTACCCTCTGGCTCCGCTCGTACTCCGCGATCTTCTCCATCTCCTCGTTCATGCGCTCGATGTTCTGGCGCCGGCGCAGCTCCCACTGGGGCACAAAACCCCCTTTGCACCCCAAAATCACCCCCAAAACCCCCTCTGAACCCCAAAATCACCCCCTTTGAACCCCAAAATCACCCCCAAACCCCCCTTTGAACCCCAAAATCACCCCCAAAACCCCCTCTGAACCCCAAAATCACCCCCAAAACCCCCTTTGAACCCCTAAATCACCCCCAAAACCCCCTCTGAACCCCAAAATCACCCCCTTTTAACACCAAAATCACCTCCAAAACCCCCTTTCAACCGCAAAATCACCTCCAAAACCCCCTTTGAACCCCAAAATCACCCCCAAAACCCCCTTTGAAGGGCAAAATCACCCCAAAACCCCCTTTGAGGGGCAAAATCACCCCAAAACCCCCTTTGAGGGGTTAAAATCACCCCAAAACCCCCTTTGAGGGGTTAAAATCACCCCAAAACCCCCTTTGCACCCCAAAACCCCCTTTGAGGGGTTAAAATCACCCCAAAACCCCCTTTGAGGGGTTAAAATCACCCCAAAACCCCCTTTGAGGGGTTAAAATCACCCCAAAACCCCCTTTGAGGGGTTAAAATCACCCCAAAACCCCCTTTGAAGCGCAAAATCACCTCCAAAACCCCCTTCGTACCCCCCAAACACATCCAGAAGCACCCAAAAAAACTCTTTTCACCCCAAAACCCCCCCTTTACACCCCAAAATCACCCCTTTTCACCCCAAAACCCATGAAGAAGCACCCCAAAAACCCCCTCTTTACCCCCAAAACTCCCCTTTGCACCCCAAAACCCATCCAGAAACACCCCAAATCCCTTTTTACGCCCAAACCTTCCCTTTTCACCACCAAACCCATCCAGAAACACCCCAAATCCCTGCTTTTTACCCCAAAACCCATCCAGAAATACCCCAAATCCCCTTTTTTTACCCCAAACCCCCCCTTTTCACCCCCAAACCCATCCAGAAACACCCAAAATACCCCTTTTTTACCCCAAAACCCTGCCCCCCCCCCCCCCCATCACCCACCTTTGAGGCCTGGCTGGGGCTGGGCCCCCCCCTCGCCCCCCCTTTGCCCAGGCCCCGCCCCCGCTGCTTCCAGTCCCTGGGGCTGGGACCGGGACCGGCCCCTTCCAAAGCGGGGTCCCCGGGGGGGTCCCCCCGAGGGGGGGGGCGGGACCCGGAGCCACGGCCGAGCCGGGGCCCCCCCCCCGGTGCCTTCTTCTCCTTGCCCAGGCGCTGCTCCTGCACCGGGGGCATGGGGGGGGGGTCAGAGGGACCCCAATGGGACCCCAATGGGAACCCAATGGGAACCCAATGGGAGCCCAATGGGAGCCCCCCCCCCAACTTCCACCTTTGGGGGTCCCCAATGGCCTCAACTGACCTGGGGGGCAGCAGGGGGGTCCCGTGCTCGGCGCAGGGTGGTCACGGCCACCCCCTCCTGCTCGGCCTTCTTGCGGTCCTCCTCGATCTCCTGGTGGGGTGCAGGGATGAAGGTGGGATGCAGATGGGATACAGGAGGGATGCAAGGATATAGGTGGGATGCAGGGATGAAGGAGGGATGCAGGGATGAGGTTGGATGCGAGGGTAAAGGTGGGATGCAGGGATGGAGGAGGGATGCAGATGGGATACAGGAGGGATGCAGGGATGGAGGAGGGATGCAGGGATGAGGTGGGATGCGAGGGTAAAGGTGGGATGCAGGGATGGAGGAGGGATGCAGGGATGAGGTGGGATGCGAGGGTAAAGGTGGGATGCAGGGATGGAGGAGGGATGCAGGGATGAGGTGGGATGCGAGGGTAAAGGTGGGATGCAGGGATGGAGGAAGGATGCAGATGGGATACAGGAGGGATGCAGGGATGAAGGAAGGATGCGAGGGTAAAGGGGGGATGCAGGGATGAAGGAGGGATGCAGATGGGATACAGGTGGGATGCAGGGATGGAGGAGGGATGCAGGGATGAGGTGGGATACAGGGACAAAGGAAGGATGCAAGGATATAGGTGGGATGCAGATGGGATACAGGAGGGATGCAGGGATGAAGGAAGGATGCAAGGATGAAGGCGGGATGCAAGGACGATGTGGGATGCAGGGATGATTTGGGGTGCAAAGACGAAGGTGTGATGCAGGAATGAAAGAGGGAAGCAGGGATGAAGTTGGATGCAGGTGGGATGCAGGGAATGAGGTGGGATGCAGGTGGGATGAAGGCATGAAGGTGGGATGGACGCACAAAGCGGGATGCAGGGATGATTTGGGATGCAGGGATGAAGGTAGGACACAGGTGGGATGCAGGTGGGATGCAGGGATGCATCAGGATAACTCCCCCCCCTCACCACCCCATTCCAATGTGAGTCTTGAGGAGGTGCAGCACGGAACCAAACCCATTGACGCCCTCCTTGTACCCCATGGACCCCTGCCCGCCCGGAGCCAGGGATGCACGGAATCCCTGCCTGGACCCATGGAACCACGGAGGCTGGGAAAGGCCTCATTGAGGCGGGGTTAAACCCGTGCCAAGCGGGTCCCACCCGCACCTGGTAGCGCCGGATGATGGCCTCGTTCTTCCTGCGCAGGGCCGCGATGCGCCGGTCCAGCTCCGCATCCTTCTCCTCCTTGGAGCGCAGGTCCAGCGCCGCCGCCTGACGGCAACGGAGGGGGATGAGAGCGAGGAACGGAGACACCCGAGCCCGAAGCGGAGTCACCCGAGCCCGGACCGGAGCCACCCGAGCCCGGACCGGAGCCACCCGAGCCCGGACCGGAGCCACCCGAGCCCGGACCGGAGCCACCCGAGCCCGAAGCGGGGCCACCCGAGCACGAACCGGAGCCACCCGAGCCCGAAGCGGAGCCACCCGAGCACGAAGCGGGGCCACCCGAGCCCGAACCGGGGCCACCCGAGCCCGAAGCGGAGCCACCCGAGCCCGAAGCGGAGCCACCCGAGCCCGAAGCGGGGCCACCCGAGCCCGAAGCGGGGCCACCCGAGCCCGAAGCGGAGTCACCCGAGCCCGAAGCGGGGCCACCCGAGCCCGAAGCGGAGTCACCCGAGCCCGAAGCGGGGCCACCCGAGCCCGAAGCGGAGCCACCCGAACCCGAAGCGGGGCCACCCGAACCCGAAGCGGGGCCACCCGAGCCCGAAGCGGGGCCACCCGAGTCCGAACCGGGGCCACCCGAGTCCGGACCGGGGCCACCCGAGTCCGAACCGGGGCCACCCGAGTCCGAACCGGAGTCACCCGAGCCCAAACCGAGGCCACTGGAGTCCAAAGCGGAGCCACCTGAACCCAAACCGAAGCCACCCAAGCCCGTCCGGAGCCACCCGAAGCCGCCCGAGCGCGGTCCCGGCCTCACCATGGTGCCGGTGGCGGCGGCGGGACGGGACCGGGCCGCGATCCGCTCGTACCGGTTGTACCCGCCCCTCTGCCCTTCTGCCGTCAGAGCGACTTCCGCTTCCGGTACGGGCTGGGAGACGGCATTAAAAGGGCGATGTGCGGACACGGTGGGGCCCACCATAGGGTCCGTATCCCCCCTCGTGTCCGTGTGTCCCGCCCCACATCCCCTGTGCCCCCCATGTCCCCCTATGTCCCCCCATCCCCACCTGCCCCCCATGTCTCCTGTGGCCCCCCTATATCCCTCTCTCCCCACGTGTTCCCCCATCTCCCTCCATATCCCCGCCCACCGCCCCCCCTCCCCTTGCTTTTCCCGCCACGGTGGGCGTGGCCACGCCCCTTTGGCCACGCCCCCCGCCTGTCTCCATGGCAGCTGCGGCTCTGGCCGCGGCCGCCCCACGCGATTGGCTGAGCCGGGCCCGGCGCGTGGCGCCGGGGGGCGGGGCTAAAGGGCGGCGGGAGCGAGGCAGGGACAAGCGGGGAGGGGGGGAGACCCCCGTGGAGGGACCCATAGGGACCCATAGAGACTCATAGAGGGACCTATAGAGACCCATAGGGACCTATAGAGACCCATAGTGGGACCTATAGCGGTACCTACAGTCTGCATCTATGCTGGTACCTGCAGCTGTACCTATAGTGATAACTACAGCATCATCTATGGCAGTAACTATAGGAATACCTACACCTATACCTACACCTACAGCTGTACCTAAAGCAGTACCTACAGCTGTACCTATAGCCATACCTACAGCTGTACCTATAGCCATACCTACAGCCAGACCTATAGAAGTGCCCACAGAGTGCCTACACCCGCAGCGGTACCTATGCAGGTGCCTATGGCTGTTCCCTATGGCTGGTCCCTATAGTCGCTCCCTATAGCAGTGTCCATAGTGCTGCCCAGAGGGTGCCCATAGGTACAGTCACCAGCAGGATCACCCATGGAAAGGGTCACCCATAGTCGGGGTTACCTATAGGGTCAGCTGCTATGGGGGTCACCAATAGGGTTATCTATAGGGTTTCCATACATAAGTTTATCTCTACAGTTATATGTAGGGTCATTACAGGCTTATCCATAGGGTCACTGTAGGGTTATTTATAGCATTACCCATAGAGTCACTGTAGGGTTCTCCATAGGGTCACTGTAAGGTTACCTATAGGACTATCCATAGGGCTATCCATAGGATCACTATAAGGTCATCTACAAGACTATCTGTAGCATCACTGTAGGGTTATCTATAGGGCTATCCATAGGGTCACTATAGGGTTATCCATAGGACTATCTATAGGGCTATTTATGGGGTCACTACTGGGTTATCTATAGGGCTACCTATAGGGTCGCCATAAGGCTCTCTATAGGGTCACTATAGGGCTATCCATAGGGTTTTCCATAGGGTTTTCCATAGGGTTTTCCATAGGTTCATCCGTGGGGTTCCCGCACTGTCGCGCGCTCCGCTGGATACAGGCGCCGCCGCGGGCTCCGATTGGCTGCGGCGGAGGCGGCTCCGTCCAATCAGAGCGCGGCGGCAGCGGCGCGCGGGGAGGGAAAAGGAAAAGGGGGGGGGGGGAGGCCGGAGGGCGCGCGCGGGATTGGGGGGCCCCCCCCGCGAGCAGTGTCCGAGGTCAAAGGTCAAAGGTCAGGATTAGGGGGTCGGGGGGGTCGGGTCAGTCCCATTTGGGGGTGTCGGGGGGGGGGGTCCGGAATGGGGGGGGAGGGGGGGGGGGCGGGGACTTTTGGACCCTTCCCGCTGTTACCGGGCGGCGGCGGCGGCGAAACCTGCCCTGGAAACGGGGGGGGGGGGGGGGGGGAAATTGGGGGGGTGATGGGGGGGGGCTTCCACCCCCTCCCACCCCCCCCCTCGCGGGGTCCTCGTTGGTCGCTGCCACAAGCCCGAACTTGTTCGCGGGGGGGGAGGGGGAGGAGGGGGCGTGTCGGTGACGTCACAGGGGGGCGGGGCCGCGCCCCGAGCGGGCAGCACAGAGCGAGCCGGTGCCGGCGCGGATCGCGCGGTTCATGCGGCTGCGGTGAGTGAGGGACGGGGCGCCCCATAGATACCCCATAGAGACCCATAGCACCCCATAGATACCCCATAGGCACTCCATAGCGCCCCATAACCAACCTATACCACCCCATAGAACTCCACAGACACCCCATAACCGCCCTATAGCACCCCATAGAATCCCATAGACACGCCATAGCATCCCATAAACAGCCCCATAGACACCCTGTAAGCACCCCTATAACCACCCCATAACCGCCCGTGGGGCAGCACGTGGAGTGGGGGGGGCGCGCGGGAGGGCGCGGCGGGGATCGGAGGGGGGGGGGGTCCCCCGGTCTCTTCGTTCCCCCCTATCCCGTTTCCCTGTTCCCAGTCCCGTTGCCCCATTCCCATTCCCGTTCCCTTTCCGCAATACCCCCATTCGCGTTCCCGGTCCCGTTCCCTATTCCCACTCTCGTCCCCATTCCCGGGGCCATCCCCGCTCCCTGTCCCCCCCATTCCCAGTCCGGATCCCGTGCCTTCTATCGCGGGTTTCGTTTCGCCGGTCCCGTTCACCCATCCCGTTCCCATCCTCATCCCATTCCCATCCCCATCCCATTCCCATCCCGATCCCGTTCCCATCCCATCCCGTTCCCATTCCCATCCCGTTCCCATTCCCACCGCCTCGGGCCGTGCCCGGTTTGTTTACAAACACGCCCGCTCATTGTAGCGCCCCCTAGCGGGCGCGCCGCATCCCGCACCCGCGTGTCTCGGGGGGGGAATCCACGTTAAAAGGGGGGGGGGGGGGGTTTGGTTTGAGGGTGCCCCCCCCCCAATTCATTGACCCCCCCCTTTCCCCCCCCCTCGCAGACCCCCCCGGTAGCCATGGCCAGAGCCCTGCGGGAACCGAGCCCCCCCGCGCCCCCCCCGCGCCGTGCCCCGCCCCTGAGCTGCGCCTGTCCCGGGGAGCCCCCCCCCGCCTGCGGCCTCTTCCATTGCGGGGCACGGGGGGAGCCGGCCCCCCCCCTCGCCCCCCCCGGCGCCATCCACAGTGGGCACGGTGAGGACTGGGGGCTGCTGCATGGGGGGGGGTCCCATTATGGGGGGGCCCTTATGGGGGTGTCCCACTATCGAGGGGGGTCCCATTATGGGGGGATCCCTTTACCTATGGGGGGGTCCCATTATGGGGGGGTCCCTTTACCTATGGGGGGGTCCCATTATAGGGGTGTCCCTTTACCTATGGGGGGGTCCCATTATCCATGGAAAGGGGGTGTCCCATTATGGGGGGTGTCCCTTTACCCATAGGAGGGTCACAATATGGTGGGGGTCCATTACCTATGGGGTGTCCCATTATCCATGGGGGGGGGGGTCCCATTAATGGGGTGTCCCTTTACCTATGGGGAGGTGCCATTATGGGGTGTGCCTTTACCTATGGGGGGGTCCCATTATGGGGGGGGTCCCATTACCTATGGGTGGTCCCATTATCCATGGAGGGGAGGGGTCCTTTTACCTATCAGGGGGATCCTATTACTGGGGGGTGTCCCATTACTGGGGTGGGATGCCTTTACCTATGGGGGGTCCCATTACCCATGGGGGGGGGGGGGTGTCCCTCTGCCCATGTCAGAACAAGCCCCCCCCCCATCAATGTATTTGGGGGCTCCTGTTGCACCCCCCCCACGCTGACCCCCCTTTAATTCCCTCTCCCTCTCCCCCCCCCAAAGACGAATTCCCCCCCCCAGCCGCTGGGGAGCGCACGGGGCCCCCCCCCCCCAGCACTGGGGTCCAGGGGGGGGTCCCCAATGGACGGGAGGTGGGCGCCCGCCTGCGTCGCCTGGGGGATGCGTTCCAGCGCCAGCACGAGCTGCAGGTGAGGGGGGGCACCCCAAAACCCTGCAAACCCCCCCCCCCCAGTCCCATTGTCCCTAATGGTATCCCCCCCACTTCCCAGTGCTGTTCCCCCTCCTTCCTGGTCACTACAGTTGAAGGGGGTGGGGGGGGGTGTGTCCTAATTTGGGGGGGCACCCCAAAATCCACCCCCCCAATACCCTTATTCCCAATCTGATCACCACAGGGAAGGGGATGATGGGGGGGGGATTATTTTAGGGGGGACCCCAAATTGGGGGGGGGCTGTTATTTGTGGGGCGTCCTATTGTGGGGGCTGTTATGATGGGGGGGACGTTATGGTGGGGTTCCTATTGGGGGGACTGTTACTGTGGGGGCACCCCAAAATCCCCCATTCCCCCTGTCCCACACCCCACAGGGAAAGGGGGGGGGTGGATTTTGGGGGGGCACCCCCATATTAACGCTGCCCCCCCTTTTGCAGCGGGAGCAACGTGGTGTCGGCGGTGGCGTGTTTTGGGGTCCCCTCTGCCGTCTGCTCTCACAGTTGTTGGGAGCTATCTACAACCTGCACGAATAGGGCCCTGTCTGCACCCCAAAACAGGGCCTGGGTCCTACCTGCACCCCACAACAGAGCCTGGGTGCTGCCTGCACCCCAAAATGGAGCCTGGGTGCTGCCTGCACCCCAAAACAGGGCTTGGATCCTGCCTGCACCCCAAGGGGTGTCGCTGCATCCCCCCCATTCCTATTTATTGGGGTGCATTTTAGGGGCTGGGGGGGGAGAGACAAATGGGGGGTACCCCCCCTTCAGTGGGGGTGCTGGTGCTGTCTATAGTGTATATGGGGCTGTATATAGGGTGTACAGTGTATATAGGGGTGTATGTATGGGGGGGGTGTATATAGGGGTGTACAGAATGACTGTATATAAGGGGTGTACATACGGGTGTACATAGGGGGTGTATATATGGGGTGTACATATGGGGGATGGATGTGGGGGGGTGTATATAGGGGGGGCCCTATAGGGGTCCCTATGGGGTGGGCACTGGGGCTATTCCTGGGTTTGTACCTTTGTTTCCAATAAACTGATTTGAAGGAGATGGGGGGAGTGATGCAATTTGGGGGTACAGAGGGGTTGGGGGGGGCGTGGGTTTATGGGGGGGGTCGGATTTAGGGGTTCCATAAGGCCTAAGTTGAGGCTGCAGCATTGGGGACCATG